AGGTTTGTTCTTTCATGGTTTTTGTTTTGTTTTATCTTTATGGAGGCAGACTGCCATAGCTCTCTCTAAAGGAATATCATTGTTGTTGTTGTTGTTGTTGTTGTTGCTGTTGTTGTTGTTGTTAGATGCTGTCAAGTTGAGTACGGCTCACAGTGACCCTGAACCCCATCCTGCTCTGTACCCTTTTCATCATCTCCCACACACGTGAGCCCACTGTTGCAGCCACTGTGTGTCCGTTCACGTCTTTGGGGGTCTTCCTCTCTTTCACTGACCTCCTACCTTTCCAAGCATGATACCCCTTTCCACGGAATAGCCTCTCCCAATAACGTGTTCAAAACTCTAAGCAATGACGTTTTGTCATCAGCCTCCAAGGAGCACTCTGGCTGCACCCTTTCCAAGACATACCTGTTTTTCTTTTGGTGGTTCATGGAATATTCTGTATTCTTCTCCAACATCACAACTCAAAGGCGACAATTCTTCTCTCATCCTTTACATTCATTGTCCGACTGTCAGATGCACAGCAAGTGACTTCTTGTTATTATTGTTGGGTGTCATCGAGTCAGAACTGACCCACAGCTGACCTTCCGACAGACAGGTAATCAGAGGCAGTGAATCACATGAGAGGAGACTGTTCATCCTTCTCTGGTGGATTCGAACCACGTGCCTACAGGTTTATAGTGCAGCGTCTTACCACTAGGCCACTAGAGCGCCCTAGCAGGTGACGAGTGAGTTCCAGTTGTGACCTGTGTTAGCCACACTCCCCCTAGGCCGGGCTTCCTGTATAGATGTCAGCTGAGAAAGCCCAACGGGGGAGATTCTGCTCTGGAGCACAGGAAGTCCTCATGAGGTCGAATCGACTTGACGGTGATGGGTCCGGTTGGAGTTTGGGTGGCTGCCTGGCCAGCAGGGAGGAGGATGTGGCTGTGACCTCGCTGGCAAAGCAGGCCCCGCGCCTACGGCATAGCCGGTCTCAGGAAGCACCAGTGTGGCATGCTCACTGCCAGATACCTCTGCGTGTTGCTGCAGCATCCAGGTAGGCCGGCCAAGCCCTGGGGGTACGGAGACACTTGGTGCAGATCGCACCCAAGCCGCACTGCCAGCAGGAAAAACAAAAGAGGGATTGAGAGACAACCCATCGGGGAACAAGCGCTGACCGGAGGCTCTGGACACACAGCTGGAGGAGAAGAGCAGGTACGTCACCCACGCACCGTGCTGTCCAGTGCAGCAGTGTCTGCTGCAAACTCACTCTTGGGCTCAGTCTGGGAAAGGTTTTCACTCCCAGACTCCTTGCCCAAGACCTGGGGAAGTCCCATCCCTTCCTCCCAAGCCAGCCAGGAGGGTCTTGCAACACTGTGGGAGGTGGGGCTGCCCACGGCAACTCCCCCACCTGTGAGAACAAGCACTGGGGTGGGTGCACACGGTCCCTCTGCGTCTTCTGAGGATGGTGACTTGCAACTGGGTTCTGGGGTTAAGCCCTATCCACCAGTGTCCCACCCAAACCCAGACCCAATCCTTCCACTGTCACGCCATTCTCATCCATAGCCACCCTCCTGGACCGAGCCCAACTGCCCCATAGACTTTGCAAGCTTCTGAATCTTTACGGAAGCAAACGGTCACATCTTCTTCCTGTGAGGGGGGGTTTAAACAGCGCACGTTTCGGTTAGCAGCAAAGCACTTAATCACTGGAATCCTGGCTCCTTGATGTTGTTGTTCTTAGGTGCCATGGAGTTGAGCATAACTTATAGCGACCCTGGGAACAACAGATCTGAACCCTGTCCTATCCTGTGCCGTCCTCACCATGTCTGACACACTTGAGCCCAAGGCCACAGTCATGAGGTCAGTCTGTCTCGCTGCAGGTCTTCCCCTCCTTTGCTGAGCCTCTGTCTTCCCAGGCGTGATGTCCCTCTCCAAGGAATAGCCTCTCCTAGCAACATGCCCAAAGGAGGTGAGATGAAGCCTGTGCATCCTTGCCTCCAAGGAGCCCTCTGGCTGCCCTTGGGGAAGACAGTCCAGTTTCTTCTTTTGGTCGTCCATGAGATGTCTGTGAGTAGGACAGGGCGGGGGCTGTTCAGGCTCCTTGGTAGAGTTCAAATGTAGGGGAGCTCTGGTGGCCTAGTGGCAAGAAGCTGCACTGCAATCCCAGAGGAACACGGTTCGAATCCACCAGACGCTCTGCCGGAGAAGGAGGCGCAATATCCTCCTGTACCAGTCAGATCTGATTTGACGGTACACACACACAAAATTAAAAAAAAAAAAAATGCAGAGAAAAGAAAGAAAAGCTCAACTTGAGGTGGGCTGAGCGAGCTCTGGTAGCGCTATCCTCGGGGAGTTACGCATCCCTTCCAAGGGCCCTATCTCTCTGTCGCTTTATACTCTCTCGCAGCTCCGGGATAGCAAAATGGGATCAACATAGTGGGTCAGTTGTGAGTCAATTCCAACAGAATGACAATGAATCTGGGGTTTTCAGTCAAGTGGGCCCAGTGGAGGGGAGATCGGCCAGCTCTCCCTCCCAGGGAAGCACAAGGAAGTCTCTTCCTGCCTGGATGTGGCCCTGGTTACAGAAACCCTGCTTCTTTCTGCCAAGTAGGGCAGGCCTTCAGGCTAGCCATCCCCAGAGCCTCCTTGTCTGAGGGTCCTTGTCACTCACTGCTCATGTGGGATGGTTATTCCTACAGCTGTTGTTACAGAGTGGTTCAGAATACAGGAGCCACAGAGTGGTTCAGAATAGAGGAGCCACAGAGTGGTTCAGAATAGAGGAGCCACAGAGTGGTTCAGAATAGAGGAGCCACAGAGTGGTTCAGAATAGAGGAGCCACAGAGTGGTTCAAAATAGAGGAGCCACAGAGTGGTTCAGAATAGAGGATCCGCACTCCGGTATGAAAAGTGGCTGCTTTCTCAGAGGTGGAGCACCAGGCCTTGCTTCCAAGTGTTGCTGGGGGAAATCGTTAACCTTTCTGCTGGCCAACGGGAGAATACACAAACTGCTCACAACACTCAGGGACTGCAAAGAAGCCTGAGTGGAATGAGCTTATCAGGTAGATCAAGGCTTGGAAACAAGCAGGCCTTGTCCGTGTTACGCTGTCAAAGGGATCTTTACAGGGACTAGGGGGGTCGAGGAACCAGCAAGAGCATTCTGCAGTGGAGAAGCTGATGCTGGACCAGAGCTGAGCCAAAGGCAAAGAGGAATGAAAGCTACCCTCCCTCCCATCCATCCCCACAGGCACTGTCTCCACATCCAGGGGGAAAGGTCCCACCTCTCCTCACACAGAGGACACTCACACCCACTTTGCATCTGAGATGCTGAGGCAAGTACAAGGGCAGACCTGACCTCCCCCAACGCTGGCCCTGGGGCTGTATTGACACACTGTCTGGGTCAATGACACATAGGTCTCAAGTGCCCAGCAGGCCTTGAGACCAAAGCTTCTTTCCCAGCAAAAGCCACCTGAGGCCTCAGTCTGTGAGTGAGGACTTGGGAACCAGCCCAGGCTCCCTCTTCCAGATGAAGAAAAGCAGGGTTTGGGTTTCTGAAGACAAAGCCCAGCCAGGTGCCACCGACAAAGAAGGCAGATGATCCTGGAGTTCCCAAGCACCTGTAAAAAGCTCAGAAAGGAAAAAAAATAAGTCAGAAAACTGGCAGGTAACTTTGTCAGACACTCTCGAGTCCAGTAATCTCAGATGACACTATACTGCCATAGGTCACACGGAGAAACAAGTTTATGGTCCTTTGAAGTGAAAGACAGGGAGGATAATGAAGAGAGAGGATGGGAATGTCAGTGGAGGAGGCCCTGGCTGGAGGCACTGTCCGAGTCTGCTGACACAGTCCAGCACATCAGCATCAAGGGAGGCTGGACACCCAGGCCTGGTGTTGCCACCAGCCTCACAGGCCCATCTGAATGGCCCTCTGGAGAGGTGGTTCTCTCAACCGTGCAGGAATCCCTTCCGCTCAGACCTGGGCTGCACAGCGCTGTGACTCGCCTCTCTCCTGTCCCTGCTCCAAATTAGCAGCGATTCAGCTCCAGGGATGGATACACCTGCACCCCATCATTCCAGAACCCACTTGGAGGTGGGGATGGGGGTTGCAAGGGATCTCAGGTTGACAAAATGAATGCACACTGGGCCTGGCTCCTCAGTGCTGGTCTTCAGGCTGCAGGTGACAGAGATAGCTGTGTTTCCAGACAGCAGAGGGGCCCTATAGTTGGGCATCCCTGGTCAGGTCAGGACATGGGGTGAGCAGGATCTGGGCAGTCACAGATTTCTTGACCTCCCCAGGCAGAAGGCTCTGTGGCCTGGATCTGTCTGTGGGCACCCCTCAGCCTTGAAGTTCTCACTTAAATGCTTGTCCCTTATCCAGTGTCTGACTGTCACCCCGGAGTAGTTAGAGATGGAAAACTGTGTGAGCATTCATGAGAGGAAGGTCCCCGAAGACTAGACAGCCAAGAGAGAAGTGTGGGAAGGACCCCAGTACTTAAATGTCAGTGAGCTTAACATACTTGGAGGGCTGGGACAGCCGGTGCTTGCGCACCCTACCAGCAGGCAGGGAGCCCAGGGCCTAGGGCCCAGGACTTCCCGATTCAGACCAGAGAGAGTGAGTGGAGAAGGAGGGCTGGCTTCCCGCACAGCGCCTCTGGCCCCAAAAGAACACCAGGGCTGCCTGGAATCCTGGCAGCGGGCCAAGTCTGGTGCCAAATCAAGGCCAGCTGCCTTCCTGCTGCTGTCCAGTCATCCCCAGTGTCCGCTTGGAGTGCGTCTTCCCCCGCCTTGCCAAACCCGGCGTCCCTGTCCCCGCTCCCCAACGCCCCCACCTCGCGGGCGCCCAGCTCTTCCACCCGGAGCTCCGCGCGGGGCGGCAGCGGAGGGAAAGTTGGGTAGCGCGCGGCGCCGCGGGGGAAAGCGTTAATGGGCGGCCGGGTGGGAGCAGCGGCGCTCGCTCGTCCACGTCACACCCGTGCGGGCTCTGCTGACGACCGCGGCGCCTGGGGACGCCGGCGCGCTCCGCTCGCCAGGTGCTCCGCCTGGAAATGTCTCCATTAGTTGTCGCCAGCTCCCCGCTGGAGCGCGCGCGCCGAACGGCCGCGCGGAGCCCTCGCGGGCGGCCGGGAGTGGCCCGGCGCCACCGCAGGTAGACGAGGCCCCCGCGGCCGCCCCCACTCCAGGGCTCCAAGACCCCTCCCCCCTGCCGAGGAGGCGGAGGCTCCGCGCTTCCGCCGAGGGGCGCGGGCGGCTGCGCGGCGACTCCCTGGTGCGTCCCGGCTGTGCTCTGCTCACCGTAGCCCCGGCGCCCAGCGGCGCAGCGGGCGCGTCCTCACCGCAGGTAGGAGTGGGCTGGGGCGCGCAAACTTTGCGAGAATCGCTCCCGGGCCGGAGGGGACAAAGTTTGCTGCCCGCCAGTGGGGTCTCTGGAGGCGGCAGCGCTTACTACAACTTGCAGAAAAGCTAGGCGCGAGGAGGGCAGTGCTGGGAGCAGGGCGCCGGGCAGCGGGCCTATGCGCGGGACGCAGTGGTGCGGTCCAGGCGCCCCGTCTGTGCGCCTTCGGACCTCGGGCGGCGCCCCGAGGGAATCACGAACCCGGAGAGCAGCTAGGGGCTAGCATTTCGGGAGGAGGGAACCCGTGTCTCCCCCTCCGGGTTTTGGCTAGGACGCGTGGACTGGTTGCTAATGAATGGCCCGGGCCGCTCTGCGTTGGCGAGCGTGGCACCTCTGAGCTCTAGAACGCAGCTCACCTCGAGCGTCCGAGCGCAATGGGCACAGGCGCCCCCCAGAGCTCGGGCCTCTCTCTGTCTCCCAAAAGAAGGCCTTGCCTGGCCCTGGGGAGCCGCCCTCGCTTCTTGGCTGGGGTCAACTTGGCTGCGCGTGAGGACCCTGCAGGGCTTCCGTACAGCGGGGTAGGGGTGGCCCCCAGGCCTAGTCTGAGAATGCCCTGGGAGCCCTGAGCTCAGCTGCTCCCAGGAACGAGGCCTCATCAGGAGCCACAAGAAGTGTACGGCCTGTCTGCCCATCGTCCCTCCAGGTTCCGCCAGCCCGAGGTCCCCCAGCTGGAGTCACGCTGCCATCACCCGCCCGAGGAGAAAAGGGCGGCCCTTAAGCATCTGAGGTTTCCCCGCTAGTCATCCTCTGACCCCTCCGAGGCCTGCTCAGGCGCCCTGGCCCTCGCACCTTGAGAGCCTAGCAGGCTTATGGGACCCCTCACGAAAGCTGATCGTTTCTAATGTTCGCGGTTATTCTTCTAAGGAGTCTTCGCTCTAGATGTCCTTAGAACCCTCCCTCAAGGGACCCGACTGGGCACCTTGCGTCTCTACGGTGTAGCCAGCTTAGCTGAGGCTGGATGAGGTACTGACAAGCGCGTTCAGGAGAAGGGACCTAGGCCGGGTCTCAGATCAAACCGTTCCATGGAAGCGCACTGGGACGTGGGTGCCCCCAGTGCGGGTTGATGGGCCTGGGTCGGCTGTCACGCTGTAGTCAGGTACCCTCTAGTGTCCCGGCCCCGTTGGAGACCGCTAAACTCATCCAGTGTTTAGGATTGAACAGCAGGGCCCGAGGGAGCTGTGAGTGGAAGTCGTTCAGGGGCGCGGAGCCTCCTCAAACAAGGGAGTCAGGACCAGGCCCCACGCCACCAGCCTGGACCTGGACCCCAGGAAGTCCAGCGTCGGATGCAGCGCAGCCGCTGGCAAAAGTGGAGGATCAGGGCTTGAGAGTCGTCCCAAGAACACAGCAAGGTCGCGCCAGTGGGACCTTGGAGAATCTGTTTACACACACCCACCAGTAAAAAAGAAGGTGGGCATGAGAACGTGGCCGCGGTGGGCAAAGCAAAGCTTTCCTAACCCCTCCCCCTGCGCCCCCAGGGACAGACTCAACTGTCTGCGTGAGTGGGGAGGGGGACACTGCTGGTGCCCCTGCTCCTTGGGTGACCACGTCTGTTCAGAATGCGAATGGCGGGCGTGTTGGGGAGGGGGAGGCGCGGCCGGGGCTCTGGGATGGGCAATGAGGCGCGCAGGCCTGGGCCTCAAGGACTGTGCCCAGACTGAGCCCAGAGGCTCAAGGCCTTTGGGACTGTGTCTTAAATTCCTGGCTGGAACCAACGCTCACAAATCAGGGACCCAGTGACCCTCACCCGCCCCAGATGGCGCTGAGCTCTGGGGCTGAGAAGACAGGTCACTAAGGAACACTGCCCTCTTGCCACCATCCCGCCCTGGACCGCGGCCGCCCAGCGGCCTCGCATCGCTCCCGCTCCCGGGTCTCCTAGCCAGGCAGAAAGAGAGAGAATTGTTTGTAAACAATAAATAAGAGAAAGTCCAGGACTGTTCAGCGTAAGGCGAAAAACTGGGGGATAGAGAGGGAGGCTGGGGGAGGGGAGGCGCCGGCGGGAGGAGCGAGGGCTGCCGAGAGTCCGTTCCACCGAACTGCCCGTGGCTAGTCGTCGCTTATTATTTACAGGAAGGTGATCTTAGCAATTCAGGTGAGAAAGAAAGAAAGCAGCACGGCCGCCACGAAATCAATACAGAATTCCCAATTATTAATGTCATTTGACTCGTGTTCTTTATATATCTCTCCCGGCTACAGACGCTAAAGTGTCTGAATAATTTGCATGGAGCGGCTATTCATTATTCCCGATGGTTTCCTTTTGCGAGCGGCTCGGACGTGGCCGGCTGCGGTCCAGCGGGATCGGAGAACTCGTATTTTCATCTGTAAATTAAAGCAATTACGCAGCAGATATGATATGATGTGTACGGTGGTCTCCAGATAGTCATCAATCACCTTCCAGCGAGCTGTCAGAGCGGGCAGATTTCGTTTCTGGGAGGCAGGCTTGCAGCTGGGCAGAGGGTGAGGACGTCATCATTAATTAGAGGGTGACCCTGGGGCAATTCACAGGTCTGAACCCAGGAATCTTTCCGTGCAAGTCTGCGCAGCGCCAAGCGCGGCTCCCCTCCCGGCCGAGCGCGGGGGGCCCAGAAAGCTGCCGGGGCGAGCCCAGGCCCCGCAGGGCGGCGCGAGAGACAGGGAAGCAGCCTAGGCAGCGCGCGTGGCCCTCGGCCTGAACGCCTGTCCTGGGTTTGGGACCCGGGCTAGAGCTCCGGGCTGACATTAGTTGGGCCGCCTGAGGCTGCGCACCTGGCTCCCTCGCGGGGCCGGCAGTCAGGGAGGCGCGCGCACGGAGCAGGGAGGACAGTTGGGCTGTGCGCCCCACACCCCTCCCAGGCTCCCAGCCTCAAGTTGCCGGAGGAGGAGCGGGCGGGGCCCGGGTCGAGTTGGGAAACCGGCTCCCGGGAGCGCACAGGGACGCCTAGCAGTCCCCAGTTTGGCCGCATGGGGCAGGGGGCGGTGAAGGAGGGCAGCCCGCCAAGGAAAAGGGGAGGGGGAGAAGAAAGGAGGGCTGCGAGCCAAGTGAGGCCTGAAATGGCCGGGTGGGGGCGTTCCCTGGGGGACACTTGGCTGCGGATGCGTGACAGAGCTGGTGGCCAAGCCAGGCCAAGAGCCTACGGTACCTGGGCCACCGACCCCCGGAGCGGCCGCCTCGAGGGGCAGTTCCGAACACCCACACATCTGAGAATAATTGGGGCTCCAAAGGTGGACACTGTTGTGGTCGCCATGGGTTCTGGAACCCAGGAGAGGCCTGGGTTTCAAATCAGTGGGAACGCGCGAGGTGATGCCCCAGGGAGGCATCTCGGATGTCGTATTGAACAGTAGCCACCAATGCGTGTGAGAGGACGCAGGGCCCCGCGCTGCCCCGCTGCCGGCTCCCACGGCCGCGGTGGCTGGCTGCCTGCCGCGAGGGCCCGGCTAATTTTAACTGTTGATTACATCTTAAATGAAGACTCACTCGTGTGTCCCTTCATTCGTCTCATTTGTAATTGAGACTAATGATTACAGTGGGGTGGTAAGGAGCAGCTGCTCGTTAATTAATTTCTAATTAAAAGCACCTCCTATCCTCCGGTGACTAAGGAGAACTCAGCGTTCGTCCGGGCCGATATTGATTACTCGGATGGATTTCATTTGTGAAAGCCCTTTGGCCCCTCCGCCCGCCTCGCGCGCCTGACCAGTCCCCGCCCCGCCCGGTCCAGGCAGTGCGCTCCAGGCACGAGGAGACCGAGGACCGAGTGACCCGCGGGACTGTGTCCTGTCGCGGCATGGGGTTGACGTCAGCGCCCCCGCCGCTCAAACCTGCGCACTTCTGAATTGAAGACTTTGCGCGGCTCCTTGATTCCCCCACCCCTCCTTTTTATTGCAAAATATGTATTTGTGTCGCTACAGAGAAGCTGTTGGGTCCCAGAGTCCCCTGGAGGCTCCGAAGGGCGAGGCCTCTGAAGCGCACTTTCTGACCAGGTTCAAAAAGTTTGCGACGCGCGGGAGAAAATTAACAGCGGGTTCGACTTCTCCCTCGCAGCCCCTAGGAGTCCACAGTCCCGGAGCAGTGGCTGCGACACGCTGGCCCCCGCGCCCAGGACCCTGCCTTCCCGCTGCTCTGGCTCTGGCTCAGACCCGCCATGTCCTACCCGCAGTTCGGATACCCCTACTCCTCGGCTCCCCAGGTAAGGGGGCCCCATCATGCGTACATGCAGCTACTCCGAGGACGCAAGGAGGCTGCGCCCCAGAGACACCTGGGAACCCTGGAAAACAACACTTAGAGCTAGAAGCGATGTGCGCGCAGGGAGACGCGCAGCTTGGCAACTTCCTGCGGGTGGGAAGGCAGGGTGCGCACTCTGGCCCGGGGCAGGCTGGGTCCCGGGTGGCTGGAGAAGGCTTGGCGCGCACGCGCTTGAGTAGGAGGGGAGGAGAGAGACGCGCGGCGTGAACCGCTGGAGGCCCCGGAGATACTGCACCCCGCGTGGGCGGAGCGTGGGGTGCGCTGAGGCCCAGGGCCCCCACCAAGGCGCCCAGATGCCCCGCCTTCCTCGAAGCCCCTCTCTCCTTGCAGTTCCTGATGACCACCAACTCCCTGAGCGCGTGCTGCGAGACAGGCGGCCGCACGCTGGCCGAGTCCGGGCCCGCCGCCTCGGCCCAGGCGCCCGTCTACTGCCCGGTCTACGAGAGCCGGCTGCTGGCCACCGCGCGCCACGAGCTCAACTCGGCAGCGGCGCTCGGCGTCTACGGGGGCCCCTACGGCAGCTCGCAGGGATACGGCAACTACGTGACCTATGGCTCCGAGGCGTCCGCTTTCTACTCACTGGTAAGGGGTGGGGCGCCCCACAGCGCTCCCCGCCCCAGACCTGTCCGGTGATTCCAAACCCACTCTCCCTGTCCTCGACAAACTGGGGCCAAGAGTCTCAGGGGCCTTAGACTGCTGTGGGGATGGGGGCAGGCACACAGTTTTGAGCCAAGGCTGCTAGTTCGGGGCATGAAGACGAAGTGTTTCAAGTATTGGTTGGTTCCGGTTCACGCTAAGTTCTCTTCGCATCTCTTGCGTGGCCTGCGGGCACTCACCTTCTCCTGCACCCCTTCTTTCCCCGCTTCCCCTGTTCCTCTTCCCAGCCCCTGCCCATCTCTGCCCACCCCTTCTCCACTTCTCAGGACCTTCCTCTTCCTCGCTCCTAGTTCAGCTGTGACTCAGCCACCCGTCTCCCTTCCTCTCTTGACTCCCTTTCCATAGAAGCCCCTCTTTCTCCTCTCGCTCCCTCCCACCCCCTAGCTCCTCCCCATTTTGCTCTGCTCTCCTTACTCCCGTCTCCCTTGCCCAACTCTCCCTCCCGCGCTTTAATCTGTCATTTCTCCCCCCCCTCCCCAACCGCCAGTGCGCCCTACCTATATGGCTTCCAATTTCTTCCCATACCTTCCCCCCCAACACCATCCACCCTGGACCCCTAGTCTTTCCCTTCCCCCACTCCATCTACCTCCTCCTCTCTTCTGCCCCTCCAACCCCCTGTCACCTCGCCCCGGCTGGAAAGTGGGGAGGGAATGGACCAGAGAGGCAGCAATTTAAGGGTGCCCAAAGATCAACGGGAAGCAAGCTGGAAGGAAGGGTCTAAAGGAGGACTCAGGCTGAGTCTTGTGCCCCTGAAGTTGCGCCCCCAGAATTGTCTTTTCTTACAGAACAGTTTCGACTCCAAGGAAGGGACAGGGTCTGCGCATGCGGGTCTGGCACCCGCCGCGGCCGCCGCCGCCTACTACCCTTACGAGCCAGCGCTGGGCCAGTACCCTTACGACAGGTGAGGGGCCAGGGGCTGGGAGGGTGCCCTCTGCCAGCGAGGCCATCTGACCTCCCGCTCTGCCCCTGCCAGCCTGCCATCTGTGGGAGGTAGGAAGGTCGAAGGATGGAGACTCGCACTGGAGCAGCCTGTGTGGTGCCCCTGTGCCAGTGGGAAGTTCAGACAATTTCCCACCTGTCCCTTCTACTCTTCCCGTCTGTACCTCCAAAAGTCCTGGCTGAAACTGTTTGCCAACGGACTCGGTTATGACAGGCCCTGTGCGTTCAGAGCCGCTTCCGATGGCTCCTCACCTCTAGAAATACATCCCTCATGTGTCCCCACCAAGCATTCTTACCCCCTCGCTACACCGCCACCCCCCCCCCAGCCTTCTCAGTCCAGGACCTCATGCCCCAGCTGATTAAACTCGTAATCAGTTCCCCTCCAAGGGCGCTAATGACCCTTTAGGCCAACGAGTGGAGTGGCAGTTTTGAATTGCTTCTCAGGGTTGTATTTTCATAATTTCCGAATCAAAAAGGTAGAGGACAGGTCTTATGAAGGAACTGGAGGAAATGCAATCTCTGCGGAGCGGCAGAGCCCTCCCCTGGAGCCTGGCGCGCCCCGCCTTGACGCGACCAGCTTGGGTAGGAACCAGGGCCTAGCTTTGCCCACAAGGCGCAGATAATAGTGTCTGAGGCAGAAAACCCTGCCTGGGACCTGGGCCCACCCCGGGTGAGCACCGCTATGTGCTTCCCGCCCTAAACGCTGCCCCGCGCTGGGGAAGCGCAGGGCCCGCGTCCGCCTCGTGCTCGGGGCGCAGGGGCTGCGGCCGGCGCCCATTGCCGAGCCTGTCTCCAGGTATGGAACCATGGACAGCGGTACGCGGCGGAAGAACGCCACGCGCGAGACCACCAGCACGCTCAAGGCCTGGCTGCAGGAGCACCGCAAGAACCCCTACCCCACCAAGGGCGAGAAGATCATGCTGGCCATCATCACCAAGATGACCCTCACGCAGGTCTCCACCTGGTTCGCCAACGCGCGCCGGCGCCTCAAGAAGGAGAACAAGATGACGTGGCCGCCGCGGAACAAGTGCGCGGATGAGAAGAGGCCCTACCGGGAAGGGGAAGACGATGAAGGCGAAGAGGAGGCGCGGGACGAGCCTCTTAAGAGCTCTAAGAGCGAAGGTGAGTTGGAAGCCAGGCGCTGCTGACTGGAAGCAGGGAAGCGGACTGCGGCTTCCAGTGCCTCGCCCTCTTTTGGGTGTAGGAGCCGAGGGCACTTATGAAAGAAAGAGAAGGCGCCGTACTAGATTGGCCCAGTGCTCATGGGGACATGGCGGGGGACCTGAGCATGCGTGAAGAAAGCGAGAATCACGCTTTAAAACACAAGATGCTCGCCTCTTCTATTAATTTGAAACTAGAATTGGTTGGCACCATAAATTTCTCAAAGGGTTAGGCCCCTTTGAGGAGAGGAGGGTTGTGGGAGGGGATGGAAAAAGGCCTGTGTAGCGCTTCCCACAGAACTGGGTATCAGAAGGTTGTGTTTAGGGTAGTGCAACAATTTACCTGCCTTCTGCCTTTCTTCCTCTACCGGTTACCGTGCATCCAGCTGAGGTCGTCAACAAAGAGAAGGAGCTTGAGCTCAGTGACTTGGACGACTTCGACCCTCTGGAGGCAGAGACCCCGGAGTGTGAGCTGAAGCCGCCCTTTCAGCCCCTGGACGGTGGCCTGGAACGTGTGCCCGCTGCCACCGACGGCCCTGGTGCCCCAGGCAAGGAGGCCTCCAGCGCCTTGCGGATGCCTATGGCCACCGGTGGCGGAGTGACACTGGACGAGGACCTGGAGAGGGCCCGCAGCTGCCTCCGAAGCGTACCTGTGGGGCCAGAGCAGCAGCCAGGAGGCACTGGAGCTGGCCCACAGAGCTGTGAGGCCAAGCTGGGCTTCGCACCCCCAGGGACAACCCCAGGCCTGGAGGCCAAGCCACGCATCTGGTCCCTGGCGCACACAGCCACTGCGGCCGCGGCCACCGCTCTGAGTCAGACTGAGTTTCCTTCGTGCATGCTTAAGCGCCAAGGCCATGCTGCCCCTGCAGCCGCCTCATCTGTGCCCTCTGTGTCCTCACCCTCAGCCCCCGCCCCCACCGGTGCGCTGGACCGGCACCAGGACTCCCCGGTCACCAGTCTCAGAAACTGGGTGGACGGGGTCTTCCACGACCCCATCCTCAGGCACAGCACTTTGAACCAGGCCTGGGCCACGGCCAAGGGCGCCCTTCTGGACCCAGGGCCACTGGGACGTTCGTTGGCGTCTGGCACCAACGTGCTCACCGGGCCCCTGGCGCGCGCCTTTCCCCCTGCTGCGCCCCAGGACCCTCAGGCCGGGGCTGCAGGTAAGGAGCTCCTGGCTTTGCCCAAGGCTGGAGGCAAGCCCTTCTGCTCCTAATGCCTATTGGTGGAGGCCCCTCCCTCGGACCTGGGAGCTCTGATGCTTGGGCAGGGAGCTGAGGTTGGATGGCGACCCCTTTTTCCACCCAGTAAGCAAAAGAACACAACAGCACTTGGCAAAGCCAAGAAGGGTGTCTGAACTCTGGTCTGCAGAGGCTGCAGACAGACCTATACTCCTCTGTGCCCAGATTCTCTGCCACTACCATCCCGAGCTCTGCATTCTGAGCAGCAGGAAGCCTGCCTGTCGCATCCAGTTTACGTCCAAAAGTTTACATGGAGAAGAAATTTCACTTGGGAGGCTGTTTTGTGTTACTCTTTCCGTTTGGGTTGGAAGCATGCAGATCTTTCCTACAAAGACTCCTGGGGCTGCTGAGCTTCTCATTTCTCTCTCACACATGCTTTTCACCCACCGCACTCGTCCGAGTTCACACTATTACACACTCTTGACTCAATTACAGAAAAAAAAATGTATGTTCACACCAATAATTGCCTGCTTTGGAGGCTAATATAACCAATAAAACCGAGTGATGGTGTCTGCATTGCAAAACAAACACGTTGCAAAACAAGGGATCTGAGAACCTGGAGGAGCAGACCTAATCCCCAAGGGGGTGGGAGGGTATTGATCCCCAAGACCACCTCAATAAAGTCGCTTTCCGAACCCAACCAAAACTTTCACTAAGTCCATTTTGTGAAGAGCAAGTCTTTCAAGTTTGAGAATTGTGCTACTTGTAGAAAGAGGAGAGCCTTAACGTTTTAGGAGTGCCCTGTTCCCAGAATGTTGTGAAAACAGGGGTCTCTTTATTTAGATTAGAGACGTTTAAGTGTTCTAGATTATCTGGGGAGCATTCTGGGGGTATGATCCCTAGAGAGCAGCACTGCTAACTGTCCCTCTTTGCTGATTCGCGTCGGGGGAGGGGGGCTCAGAGGGAGAAAGATGGGCCATCTCCTCCTTCACCCCTTACAACCTGAAGGGGAGGTGGGTCCCCACTGGAGAAGAGTCAGCTATGAGCTGGTTCCTGCTCCATGGTCGTAAGCTTGACTTTTGAGACAATCTCCTTGGAGGGACCCTGGTGGCCTTGGCTGTCTCCTCACCCCCTCTCCCTGGCCCTCAGGAGAGGCTGCTCCTGGAGATGGCGGCTGTCAGGGGCTGAAAGGAGAGTAAGAAGGCTATGACAGGGCTGGTTTAGGGAAAGAACTCAGGAGTATCTGGAAGGAAGCAGTCCTGGTCTGGTCTAAGCCGGCCAGCCCAGGTTCCTGCAAAGTCCTGGAAGCAGTTTTGCTCAGAAATCCCTCTCCACACCCTAGAGCACTCTGTTAGACCAAGTCCATTGGCTACAGGCTGCTCTAATCTGGCGCGCACCCCCACCCCTATCTCCTCATGAACATGCTTGGTCCTCATCCCCACCCCAGGCGCCTATGGGCTTTAGGGATGCCCAAGGGGATCTGGTGAGAACAGCGCACTGGACTCAGGTTTTGTCCCTCCTGCAAACCCCGTAGATCAGTGGTTTGCTTGGTCTTAACCAAATCCCCAAGTGTTCCCTGGAACGACTTTAGACCATCAAGTGTCCTGGACACGGTAAGGAGACCAGGTGATAGTGACACTTACCAGGACGCAAAAAGAGGCAGAGAGGTCAGCTACAGACACCGCCCCGCACTCAGATTGGTGGGCGACCTCTGAGGGACCTGGGACGTTCTTAGGTGCACCTAGGCCTGAGTGCTGCCCAGGGAACAGCCCTGGGAACAGCCCTGGGAACCCGAGCGCTCTGCAGTGCGGGCCTGATGTACTGGCCAGGGAGGTTTTGGGGCAGGGGTACACACCACACACCAGGGAAGCCAGCAGGATGCCCCGAGTGGTGGGGGGATCCCCGGACCCCGAGCGGCGGGACCTGGCCGCCAAAGAGCCAGAGCCCTGCCCTCGCCGGCCAAGCGGTAATTGGATTGTATCCGCCCGCGCGCTGTCACCGTATTGACTTTCGCTCTCTTGGATGATATTATCGAGATTCGGAAGCTCGCCGCTGATGTGCCTGTCAAAAGGCTGCGGCGGAGCCCCCGGCCTGGCGAGCGAGCATCAGCCAAGATAATTTGAAGTGAAATTTTCATTTTGACAGTAAACCCCTCAATTTCTAAAGGCTCGGCGCTCCGAGAGCTCGCTGGCAGGGGGAGGCTTTGCGGAGAGCCCACGTCTTAGACTGAAAAGGGCAAAAGAACTCGAATTAGTTGTAATAGATAAAAGGGCAAAAATAAAGAGTCAAGGGTACTTGACAGTAATAGCGCGGTGGAATCTCGAGGGAGATGCGCCGCGGCCGAGGCTGGGGCGCCGGGAATGTTAATGCGCGAGGGCGGCCGCCCCGCGCCCCCCGCCTCAACCCGAGACAAAGCCGGACAGCTTCGACACAATCAGCTTTGCGAAGTCAGGGATGAGAGGCTTGGGCTTAGCCAGGGCCCGGCCACAGACAGCGTGGCTGGGTGCTGAACCCCGAGAGCGCAGGCGGGTGGCGCTGGTCCACGGGGCGGTGGTGGGACGCGCTGCCCTGGAGTCCTAACCCCTTTGCTTTGGGCTGGCCCTAGGCCCACGAAGCTTGAGCCGCTACCACGCCTATTTCTTTAGGGGACACCAGGCTTGGGGTCGGCCCCAGAGGTGATCCCACCTAACCCCGTGGTTCAAGGCCCTGGGAATCCCAGTTTGTAGGGAGAGTAGATTATTTGAGTGAACTCTGATAATGTGTGACATGGAGACATCGTCAGTGACGTATATGGAGGAGAGGATGGTACCGCAAAAGAAGCCCCTGAAGCTGGGGCGTCTTTTCAAACCATGCTTGCCTCAAAGGGGTACACCCAGCACCCTGCCCGACTCTCGCGCCCATCTTGGTGGGGAGCCACGGTGAGCCCCGCAGCGGCGGGCTTGGCGAGCACTGAGGACAGTGCCAAGGATCTCAAGGGTCTCCCTGGACACTGAGGGGGAAGCTCCTTTTCCGTGGGGTGCGGCCAGGGAGGAGGGGGCCACCTCACCCCGGGAAGCTTGTCAGAAGATGAGCTGCAAGACGCGGGAAGGCAGGCCTGGAGCGCAGCCCCTGGCCACTCAGCCGTGGCAAATTCAAACACTCAGAGGGGAGGGGGCTGCTAAATTAACGGCTCTTTTTACATAGAGCCCAAATAAAACTGTAATCAGCGGCGCGTTACTTTTCATTAAGTGAATCTGACAGAAGCATATTCAGACTCGACAAGGGAACAGGCGCAGGAAATATACGGCTCTGCCGGCCGGGCCGCTGCGCAGATAATTCCTTAAGCTCCATTAACAACTCTTAGCCGCAGGAAATGGGCTCCCGGAAAACGTCTCCAAATCTAAAAGCTTTATCGACCCCTCAAACCGCAGCTGATGGTTCCATTTTTTTGCCCCCTCTCCTTTCTCTCTCTCTCTCTCTTTTTTAACTTAAGGGAGAGGTTCCAGCCAAGGTAATAGACTTTGACACGACACCTTCTTAACTAGAGAGAGAGAGAGAGGGCCAGGAGAAGCCAGCCCTTAAATGATATTTAAAAGGCAACCAATTAAGATTTAAAGTGGTCGTCTCCAGAGATTATGGGGCGATTTATGCCACCTCCGATTTCCCAGGCATGCCTGCAGAACAGCGGTGAGGGAACTCTTCTCTGGTTCTCTCTGAAGTTTCACACAGACAATGGAAGGAGAGAGAGAGAGAAGCAGGCAGTCTTGGCACACTCCAGCCATTCTCGGTGGGTGGAAGACTCAGGTTGAAGAGAAGGAAGGCCTGACACTCCCAGATTCCAGCCAATGGCTTTCCGCCTTTTCCCCAGGGCAAGACAGCCCAGGCTGTGGGTTCTGGTTCCTCAGCAATGTTGTCATCGCTGGTCGGTGCCATCAGCCTGACTCTGCCATCAGCTATTCAGTGCCAGCAGCTTGCCATCTGCCCTGGTCTGGGCGGTCCTCCACCATTGCTGGAGCGATGGTCACTGTGCACCTCCTGTCAAGAGCGTTCTTCCTGGCCAGACCTGCAACATTCAGCTGAACTTAGAGTGTCCACCTCAGAGGGCCTCTCTGGAGAAGGAAGGATCGCGCTTGAACCTAGCAGAGCCATTTCATGCCTCAGTTCATTTGGCCACCGCCCTGAACCAGGAAACAGAACGTTACCACTGTCTCGTTCTTGTTGCTGTGTGTCACCATCGAGTGATTGACTAAACAACTCAGTTTTGTTGAGTGTCATTGAGTCAACCACAGCCCAAAGCTACCCTGTAGCCAACAGTGCAAGGCCTTGCCCTGTCCTGAATCATCCTCACAAGCTCTGCCATGGTTAAGTCCATTGCTGCAGTCACTGTGTCAATCTGTCTCATTGAAGGCCTTTCTCTCTTTCTCTGACCCTCAAAAAAATTAATTAATTAATTAATTTTTTTTAAAAGTATTCTTCCGCTACTTTTCTGACCCTCCATCTCTCACAGTGGTAGGGGATTGTGCTGGTTCAAATCTACCAGCTGCTCTGTGGGAGAAAGATGTGCAATCTACTTCCATGTTATCTGTTGTTGTTATGTGCCATAGAATCACCTGTTACTCATAGAGACCCTATTAGCAACTGTGTTATTTACTGCCTCTGAAAACTCACTGGAGGGTCAGCTTCAACTCATGATACACAACTAAAGCCTCTCCTGACAGCATGCCCATGTCTGATGCCAGACCAAGTCTCCCCACCCTTGCCTTTTGGGAAACACGCTGATTGCACTTGCTTCAAAATGGACTTGTTTGTTCTTCTGGCAGGTCATGGGATAGGCAGTACTCTTCTCCAACACCACAACACAAAGACACCAGTACTTCTCCCTCTTCTGCTAGGCTTCTACTGTCCTGCTTTCAAATGCACAGGAAGCGACTGAAAATACCGTGACTTGGATAAGGTGCCCTTTAGTTTTTAAACTGACACCCTTGCTCTTTAGAATACTGGAGAGGTCTCTGACAGATTTTCCCAAGGCAACATGTTGTTAGGTGCCATTGAGTCG